TAATTTGGCACGTTCTGGAACAAGAACAAATCAATATAAATATTGGGAAATATGGTTATTTGGGTTAAATTTGTTTCAAGAATATAAATATCCAACCAAATTAAAATACTTAATAGGAAAGAAATGGGAATTTAGACATTCGCAAACGTGAAGACATTCGTGAATGTGAACCCGCTTGGTTTTATTTAGTTCGCCTTATCGGGAGTGCACTGTACTTATGCACACATAAATATGTATGTACATTAGAGTGGTCCAAAAAACAGTAAAGTCGGAATTTTAATGCCGCCCCCCCGTAGGATTGTTCTCTATCGAAAAATATACCCCTATTTTTTATTTTTAAATCAAAAATATTTAGGGAGTGCTCAAAGCGCTCTAAGTTTTCCATGGATTTTATATGGCGAAAAAAACAACTTTTCGTAGAAATGTTATAGAATTCTTGAACATCAATATTTTTCGATTGGAAAGCTTTGGTTCTCTTCAGGAGATGCCCAATAATAATACCCACAGAAATGGAGCATATCATCGCTCCACAGGAAATACCACCATTCACCGCAGAAGAGACCAAGTCTGCCATTAATAGAATAAAGGCCAAGAAAGCACCAGGCCCAGACAGAATTCCAACAGAAGTTCTAAAAATAATCGCCACAGAACGCGCTCTATGTACAATGCCTGCCTCAAGAACGAAATATTCCCAGAAATTTGGAAAAGGCAGCAGCTCGTCTCAATTAGCAAAGGATAGGGGAACCTTGAATCCCCATCAGCGTATCGACTACTTTGTATGCTGGACACAGCTGGAAAACTCTTAGGAAGGCTGCTAGAACCTAGAATAGAAGCGGCTATCGCCACTGGCGGCGGACTGTCCTCAAGACCGTATGGAGTCAGGCCCGGTAGGTCAACAATTGGAGCTATAAAACACGTAATAGTAACAGTGGACGCCGCATACCAACACAAAAAGCTAGTCCTGCTTGCAACCTTAGACGTTCGCAACGCCTTTAACACCGCAAAATGGGAAAATATCATACACACGCACTAGAAGAAGTCTACAACATACCCACGTACCTTAGACTCATGGTTCGAAGCTATCTAGATGGCCGGGAGTTAATAATATAATAATCCCAACGGTGTTACGCACCTTTCCCGCCCATTCGTACGAGCGGCGCCGTCCGTATGACGTACGGAACCATTTTATAGAGTTAAAAAAATTTATCGAGTTGTCGTAATGTATCGAGTTATTTGAACTAATCGAATTATCGATATTTATTAATTTACTGAAAATTGTCGATTTACCGAATTGAGGTTTTTTAAATTTTCAAAATATATCGTGTTATAGAAATTTTCAAGGTTATATAAGTTTATCGAGTTATCACTGCTTATCGAATTTGATCATGCTATCAGAGAAATTGGTCGATAGCTTTCGAAAAATATGTAGCTGCTAATATTATTCGAAAATTATAGAGGTATCCAAAGCTTGTCGAGTTAACGGTTTATATCGAGATATATACATTTTGGAGTTATCCAAATCTATCAAGTCCTAGAAACACATAGCCATCGAAATTAGTCGAGACGTCGAATTTTGTTGAGTTAAGGGATTTTAGTGTTTTTAAAATTCATTGAATTATCGATATGTATCAAATTATCGAAAGTTATCGACAAACTGTAATGTATCGGGTATATTCCAAGTCCTGCCAAAGTCCTCCAAAGACTTTCAACGATATAAAAAATTGAAGTCTCGATTTAGTTCCAGAGCAGGAGATTTTCCGATAAGTAATCTTGTGCATTATAAGTTAAACGACGTGTTATTTTACAAGACCTCTCATTGGGTCTTCAAACACTAGAAGCCGAAACAGCCGAATTTCAACAGTAACTGGCACTCCTAGTATACATACATAATTCCTTAACATGTGTGTTTTTTTTTTAAATAAATATTTCAGGGATATTCGAATAGTATGTGGATGCCAAAAATGTAACTTTATTTGATATCCATGCACATTGCACCGAATTTTCTAGATATGTAGTTTTTTTAATAATCATATCTTTGCAATTTCAAGGACCTTTGAAAAAAATCCTGACGCAATGACGCATCAGAAAGAAAAAAACTAAAAACACAGTCTTACTATTTTTGGTTCCTAGATTCGCGAACATATTTTTTTTTTTACTTCATTGAAACCAAAGATAATTCTAAGAAGATGCATTCATCAATTATTGGTACTCACACGTTGAAAACCTTGGCTGAAGGGGCCACTGCCACCGCCGCCCGTGTAGCCGCCCGCAAATGACACTGGCCCCACTGGCAAACCAAATTGTTGTTGGCGTGAATGTTGGTGCTGCTGCTGCTGCTGCTGCTGGTGAGATAAGTTTTGTTGTTGTTGTTGTTGTTGCTGTTGTGCATAAGAAAATTGCGACGGCTGATTCGCGTTATTTAAACTATTGTTGGAAAGATATGCTTGATTCTGTTGCTGATGCTGCTGACTATGTTGATGTTGGTGTTGGTGCTGGTGTCGCTGTTGCATTTGTTGTTGTATAAATTTTTGAGGATTTATCACACCACCAGCGTTACCGCTACCGCCACCACACCCTCCAGTGCTCGTTGGTGTCGGATTATAATCTAAAAATTCCGATGAGGATGATAATTGTGTATTGGAGGCATCCTTCAGACAAGTCTCCAGCCAAGCATCCAAGTGATCCTTCATATAGCCATCACCATGCCCATGACCTTGGCCGCTACTACTAGGTACTGTAGCTGTGCGTGATTTAAGTTTTTTGCGCTTGTTCGTTTCATTCATAGCTGCAAGGAGAAGAATCAGAGAGAGTGTTAGTGAATTCCAAACGCAAATTCCAAATTAGGAATTTCTAAACTTTTCTGCATGCACGGCAATGCTCGCTTGTATGTATGTTCGTTATTCAGAGGGTGCAATCGAGCGTTGCAAAAATTATGTAATCGCAATTAAAAGTAGTTAGCATTGAATTGTGGCTAACAAAAGCTGTGTTCGCTCTGCCGCGCGCTTGAATATAATAGCTGATGTATTTTGGTAACAATGATGTCATGGACGGTGGTGCATCATTGACTTATTTCTTTTCATTTTTTTTTTTTGTTTTTAATTCGGCGGCGGAAATGTGATTGGTGTAAAAATGTGTTAAGCTGTGTATGACAGCCGCGCTTGCTTCTTTATTTCATAAATATTTATTATTATTTATTAAGTGGGATTCATTTATAAATACGTAAGCCTATAAGTAATGTATGCTTCCTATTAGCCAAGTGTGTAAAGTATTTTCGATGTCTGTGCTATTTTCGTCACACACGCGTTCGTTGCGCACTTTTTAAATACGTGCCACTTGGAGTTGGAAAATTGAAGATTTTATGGTAACAAAAACATGTGGCTGATTTCAAATTTTTTTTAAAAACAGATTCAGTACATGGTCTTACTAAAAATACTTGAACGAATTGAAGAGCAGTTGGGGGAATTTGGTTATGGCTAGGAGGCAAGTGGCATCAAAGAGGGAAATAAATATGACATGATTATAGACATACATCGTAGATGGTTGGGAGTAATACTAAATGAAAAGAAATTTATTATTACGGATGTGATCAGGGTTGCCACTTTGGTAAATTGTTACCAAAATTGGTAGAAAACATTTGGGTTGGTAAAAAGGTAAATTGTTTCTCATTTTTGTAGATTTTGAATTATTTTGTTTGAAAAACTTTTTTCTTATTTTTCGTAGTTATCTTTATGTTAAAAATTTCTTTCCAAAAGTGTAGTCTGCTTTATTGCATTACTTTTCGAACGCTTAAATGCACACTTTTTTCGCAAAAAAAATTGTAATAAACGCAATTTTTTAGCAATCGCAATTGTTAAATGAAAAACACACAAAAGATTGGCGGCAAAAAAATAAATCAACAGGAATTTTTAGCTGCACATTGTTGGTTATACTCAAATACTATTATGGGCTATAAAACTCCATACCTTAAATTGGTCGAAAAATTCCGAGTAGAAAGTAGACCAAAATTTTTGGAAGCGCAAACAATATTCTTGTATAAAAAACAAATACCAAAAAATTTGTTCTTAAAAAAATTTCCAAGCGGATTTTGGGTCACTGCATTTGTCTATAATAACTCCGGTAGAAGTTTTTTCAAATGATGAAGTTTCGTTACAGGCCTTTAGATTCACCACTTTCGCTTTGGTTGAATGAAACTGAGAATATGCCAGTAATATGATTTCAAAAACGGAACATATAACTAGTTAAATAAAAAGTTCCTTAAAAACAAATTTATTTCTTATTGAAATAATGAAAAATATAACAAAACTATAGGTTTTATTAAAATAACTAAAAAAAAGTTGTTTTATTTAAAAAAAAAAGTTATTGGTAGAAATTTTCCAGGTTTGGTAGATTTTTTCAAGTGGATGGTAAGTATTTTTTTTTTTGTCAGTAGCAATCCTGGATGTGATCACAATTATGTACATACATACATATATATAGCAAATTCCACTAATACGAGTATTATATGTATGTTAATTTGAACGTTTGTGAGTTGGTGAGTGTGTGAGTATGTATGTTTGTTGCTCTTTCACGCTAAAACGGCTGGACGTAGGTGCCACCTGGATTAACATATAATACATATCTTTCAAAAGTTTAAATCAATTTATTAATCAGTTAAATGAAATAATACAACAGTGTAGATATCAAACGAAAGGGGTTTCAAAACGATTTTTTCGAAAATATTCAGGAGAGTTGCTACCTCTTCAAAACGTTGAAATCAATTTAATTAACAAGTTAACGGAATATTGAACGAGCGAGATTTAAGAAGGTTTTATTTCCATATAATTTCTCAAAGGGAGTTGCCACCTGTTTATAAATACAAAATCGATTTAATTGGCAAGTCAAACTTAATCCATTAATGTGGGTAACAAACGAGAGAGGTTTTACGAAAGCTGCATCTATCTATTTCGAAAATATTTCTGATGAGGGTTGCCACCAGTTTATGAATTTAATTGACAGATTGTAAGTGGGCGTGTAAAGCGTTTGTTGGTCTTTCTTTGTATCACATTTGACTTACACCCAAAAAAAGTCAGCTAAAAATAATTCCCTTAACACATGATTTGTTAACTATAACCAAATAATGTAACTACATATAAGCAAATCATATATTGAGATAAATATATTTAGCTGACTTTTTTCTGGGTGTGCGGGTAGCTTATGGCCTGGACTAACATATAGCTTAAAAAAATAAGTTCTACTTTAAATTATAAGTTCATCGAAATTTTACAATATGAATGCGAAACGTACGAGATTTCAAAAAATGTATTACGAAAACATTTTTAAGAGAATTGCCACCTATGTTCACCAGTAGGAGCAGCTGCAAGCGGCTTGCTATATAAACGTGTATTCGGATAATAAAACCAAAAAAACATCCCAGCAGTGGGTTGTACGCTGGCCTTGGGACAAGCGACGCAAAAAAAAATTACCTGAAAAGCCTCGGATTATTACCGCCCTCAAATACCCTTAGATATGCCCCTGGAATGTCCGCACCCTTTATAGGGAAGGTGCGTTTATCCAATTGCCGAATGTCATAGAAAAATACCTAGCTGACACCTACTCAGTTCAGAAAGTGCAGAACTACTTCAAACGGATCGAACTGCATCAAAATTATCATATCGAAAACATGCTGGCGTGTTGTGTTCCCTTTGGCAATTAAGCGATTCATATGAAACATAAGTTTTAGATGTTGAGACCTTTTATAATAACGGGCCTCATGCATAAAAAGCGAGCTTCAGCTCAGACTCAACTTTTGCACTGATAAGCTCAAAAATTTGTACTGAAAATTGAGTCAAAGCTTAAGCTAATTTTTTTATTAAAAGACTGTTACAATATAAAAAGCTGAAATAAGAGCAAAAAATTATATTTTTTTATCATGCTTCATGTTCTGTAAAACTTTCATACTAACACCTTGTGTAATTTCAGTATGATTGAATTTATTCCCTCTTTTTTAGCATGGCGAGTGTCAATTGCAAACTTAAAACGCGTCTCCTAAAAAAATCACTTTTATTTTTTTGTAGCAGTCTTTTATTAAATAGATTTAGGAAAAAAAATCTTTTTTATATAAAAAAACTCAAATACAATGCCTTCAATGCATTAAAATATATTGAATGCTTTGAGTCGGTGAGTCACGAATTCCTTCAATGCCTTTGTCGCACCACCTTTAAAGTAAAAATCTGGTAAATCCAGTTTTAATGCGCGAGCGCAAGCGATATTCACAATGAATCATTGCATAGAAATGACAATACACAAAAGAAAACACAAAATGTTTGATAATTTTTAAATATTTACGATTTGGCTAGTATAAATCGAATCAAGGTATGTATGTATGTAGATTACGTTTGTACTCGTAGTTAATACTTTATAATCGAACTACTATGTATGTATGTATGTATGTAGCATATGCTTTTAAAAAAATATCAAAAATTGGGCACCAACAAAAATTTAACTTTTCTGACTTTCTAAAATTCTAATTCTCAGCGTTCTACAAAAAGACTTTTTCAAACTTTAACTAATTTTACCTAATCACGAGCAATTTACGCGCATAAAAAATCGGCCAAACAAAAGCGCATGCATATGTAACGGGTGATTTTTTTGAGGTTAGGATTTTCATGCATACTAATGCATGAAAATCCTAACCTCAAAAAAATCACCCGTTAGTACTCGCGTATTGTTGTTGTTATTGGCCATAAGTCAGCTTGATTTGTGAGCATTATTGCATGACATGTTACCGCTTACCAGTTGTTGGTTAATAGCATAGTTACCGGTATTGGCATTTGATACCGCAACTTAGTATCGCATTTCTCACGTCAATTTCAAATTCACAGTTAATTTTGTTTTTTTTTTTTGCTTTTCCAGGCAAATTAGCCACTATGCAAACAATAGCAAGTAGTTAGTCCCCTACAAAGCCGTATTTATGTATGTACAATATATGTATGTATATGTATGTTAGAGTACATATGTATACATAAATTATTTTCCATGAGGGCTGAGTGCAAAAATAATTTTTAATTACCTACTAGGCGGCTGGTGTTTATACATTTCGCTAAACACTTTGGTAATTGTGGTGATTTGATTTGTGATTTGTTACCTGTAATGAACTGAATCGGATTTGTTTACTTGCCAGTTACCGATATTTGTATAAAAAAAATAAAGCAATTGACTGATTCAATGTAAAAATAAAATAACAGTGGAATTAGACGAACTTCAACCACGAGTAGGCTTTGTACAAGCACTTCATGCGGCCAGTATACATATATGTATGTATTTATGTAAATAAATGAGCTTCGAAATAAACGAAACGATTCAAAGAAAATATTCATTTAAGATTCGCGTTCAATACTAATAAGTAATATTACAGTGCTTTTGGAGCCAAGGAGCTATTATTCATTTTTTACTTAGGACCTATGTAATGCGTACAGTGTTCTAGATATTGACTTCTACCAAAAAATAAAAATAAAATTTTGCATTTATTACATTATTATCTACACTGAGAGAAATAACACATAGTAAAAATTAATAGTTTTTATTTGATTATAGTTCAAAAGTAAAAATAATAATTTCATACGAAAATTTAGCATGCACGTATTTGAGAATACGCTGAGGGGAAAAAATAGTAAAATCAAATAAAAATGTATTTAAATCAAATGAAAACGCGTTCAAAAGTAGTGTTTGTATAATGGAAATATTCAATTCAAATACGGCCATATTAAAATGAAGCATTTCGCACTTCACAATGTTTTTCGCGACTTT